AAAAGAACAGATGAAGATCTCTATCAGTAGTTCATGTAAATGTCACATCACATGCACAGAAGCCCACTGCCGCCTCTTGTGGTCTCTCTTCCGTATTAACGCCTCTCAGTGGGACTCGCTTCCCATTACTCTGCTCAGTGCATTGCTCTTTTAGTTGCCTTCTCTATTTTCCCCATTTCTCTTCATTTAAAACTAATACTCCCTATTCTCTTCTACAAAATGTTCAGAGTTGTGGCGCATTTAATAAAGTGCACTATATGCAGAAATATTCAGATCTGGAGGGCACCTTGAAGAATCACCTTTTCCCACTGTCTCATTTCATAGCTGATAAAATTGAGGTCAAAATAGAACAAGTGCAGCAGACTCACAAAACCCAAGAAGGGACTAGCGGTTACCCAAGGGGAGGGGTGGGTGAGGGAGAGTGGGGAGGGAGGAAGAAAGGGATTGAGGTGTATTATGATCAGTACACATAATGTAGGGGGCGTCACGGGAAGGCAGTATAGCACAGAGAAGACAAGTAGTAACTGTAGCATCTTGCTATGCTGATGGATGGTGACTGTTATAGGGTATGTGATGGGGACTTAATAATGGGGGGAATGTAACGACCACAATGTTGTGCATGTGAAACCTGAACATAAAATTGTATATCAGTGATACCTTGATAAAAAAAATAGATTAAGTGATTTGTTTAAAGTCACACACTAGATAGAGGGAGACACAGACCAGAATGGTGTGGCATTAAAGTTTACTCTTGTCGATATACAATACTCTCCATTCAACAAACATTTATTTATGTGGCAGGACTATTCAAGGGGCTGGAGGCTCATGGAGGCCCCCGAAGGGGTAATGCTGCTCCCGTCACTCACGTGCCGCAGGTTCTTCTCCCTCAGATACACCTTTAATGCTATTTTGACTATTGACTTTCTGCTGAAACTTTTTTATTTTCATAGTTTTTTCCCATGCTTTGATAGTGTCCTTATCTTCACTCAGTCCTAATTAACTTCCTCAAGCTTCTCATTTAATTAATTCCCATCCTCCTTTTGAAGGTACACCCTGACTCTCCTGACTCAGTGTCATTCTGTCTCTTTTTCAGCCCCCCAGTCTGAAACAATTATGTTGACTATAATGAAAATGTTAAACATGGTTGAACCCAGTATGTGGTCATTGTAACTCTGACGGCCAGCAAATGTTTTCGGGCGTTTTGACTTGTATAATAAAGTGTCACAACAGAAAAATGAGTAAACGCTTCATCCTGCCCTCTTTTTCAATCGTTGTTGGTAAATATTTGCTTGTATCATAATGAGGACAGGGTTGTAGAATGAAGCTTCCAAAGTGGCTGTCAATAGGTAGGCACAGTAAAGAAAAAAGTAGAAAAATTCCTTCGCCCTAAATTTGAGGCTGTATGTCCTTCTACTGTCCTTTATTGCCCTTCAAGGGAAGCCCACATTCCCTATTACCGTCTTGTTCCTACCAGAGGCACCACAGGGGCCCGTACTGATTGCACTTATTTATAGGACCTTTGTTTGCTATTCTATTAGCTGATGGATTATTTCCCTTTTCATGCCTGATACTCTCCAGTAGTTATCCACGTAGACATAATTAACTTTTATAGTTATAGACAGAATGAAACCAGCCTCTACTTAAAGAACAAAATAAAAATAGCCACAATTCAATGTAATATTTTGTAGAAATACTGAAAAATGGTGCTTTTTAATTTACTTTTCTTAAAAGATAGTTTTTCAGTCTTTTGGGGCACTGTTTGTTTTGCTACTTCAAACTATCATAAAAATTTGCAAGGATAGCACAAAAAGTTCTTATATGCCCTTTACGTAGGTTATCCAATTGTTTACAGTTTTTCCTGTATCATTTTCTCTCACTGTCTCTCATAATACAAGTAAACATAGACATATATGTTTATACATGTGTGTGTACATGTACACACTTCATATATTTTTCTAAACCATTTAGAGTATATTAAAGACATGATGTGCCTTACCCTAAATACATTAGTGAAAAATATATAAAAGTGTACCTTTAAGTGTATTTCCCAAGAGCAGGACATTCTCTTACACTGCACAGATCAGTATCAAACATAAGTAATTTGCTATTGATATAATACCTTTATCTAATTCATACTCTATATTCAAATTTAATCCACTGTCACAATAATGTTAATATCTAATTGTTTGGTCTCATTGGTCTAAGATCTAATCTAGAATCATACAATGCTTTATTTTTGTGTTTTAAAACTTACAGTCAGTCACTAATGACCTGGATAGTGTCTTTTATTAAAGTTATCTCTGCTTGCTGACTGCTGTTCCAAGAATAATACTTTAAGACAAAAATCCCTCAGGATTACTGATATCTTTGCTAGAGAAATAGCGTATCAACTTTGTAACTATGTTCTAAGTCTGGCATTTCAGTAGGAGGGTGTCCAGGAAAGAGAACTCAGATTTATCAATATTTTGCAGTTCTGACATTTAAAACTTGGGACAGAGATGTTGTCACCATACCAGTACCCCTGGGGCTGGAGGGCTAATGTTTGCAAGTGGCCATGTCGCACGATTCTCAGGGTATACTTTAAATCCAATCCTAAATAGACGGTTAGCTCAGTGATGGATCAGTGAAAGCTCCATTAAAGTCAGTATTTTCATCAAAATGAAATACTTCGGATATTTAAAACAAAGTTTGTATGTAAATATTAATTACTCAGCATTCTTGAAATTAAGACACCTTTAAAAAATAAAAAAGCAGAGCTGTGTATTTTTAAATATCTGACATTAAATTGAATTCAAATATTTTGGGGTTCTTCCCCCCCTGAAAAAAACAAGAAAAGTCAAGGATTTGTAGTATTTACAGTGCCTAAACTACATAGTGTCTTGCTTAATGTGTAAACAGAATTATGATGGAGACCACACGTATAATAACCACTTTGACTTCTAGCCATTGTTGGGCAATAGTAAGCCCTGAGTCTCAGATAATTGTCTTTTCTCTCCATGTCAGGCCTGCTTCTAGAACTGTATAAAAAGAATGTGAAAGATTTATTTACATCAGATTTACTGATTATGAATGTGTATAAAGTTTTGTGAAAAATGTATAAACCTAGTTACACAGACTTATGCTTTTTCTTTTTTTTTTAAGTATTGTATAAACCCATAAAAGTACCAAGTCTCAATACCAGGAAACTGTAGTCAGCTCTGCTGACACCAGTTACATTAGTGAAAAGCCAGACAGATGAAGGAAGGTGCAAATCATCCCATCTATTTGTACTTCTCCTCTAAAACAGAGAAGTTTATACATTCAAGAGACAGAAATTTGCTACCAGAAAAATACTATGCACATCCAAATTCAGTGCATAGATTAAAAATAAAATAGTTGTTTGTCCCCTACAGTAGAACAGGCTTGCCCATTCATCCTTGTGATAGATATCTGTGCAGAGCCATAATGAAATCCAATCCCTGCAGATGGCTCATAAGTCACAAAAACTGCTTAATCCTTCCCCTACTTCCCTTTGGGAAGCCTGCCCCTTGGTAAGTAATAATGTACAATATATATAATGTCAAGTAATTCTTAGTTTTTTAAGTAGAACACTTCCATTTTCTCTAACAGATCTTTTTTTCTGTCTTTAGAGCTTTATGTCACTCTGTTACTTTAGTAAGTATGCCCATCGAATTTTGTTGTAGTTTCTGTTTTAATAAAAAAGTGTCAGTATGTCAAAACTATATATAGAAATCTTGTCTAAAATTGATTGTGACTCAAAGTCATATTTTAAGAGGCAGCCAGGCAAATCTACGTGTGTTTTTACATTGCTCTTTTGAATGCATTTTACTAGAAATCAGTTGAGTTTCAGGCAGGAATAAAATGAAAGCAGACCTTGGAGCCTTAACCACTGAACAGATGCTGTGAATACAGCTTTGAAAATGTAGCTGTCACTTCAGATCTTTTCTGCTGAGTACCTCTGTGAGCCAGTCGCCAGAGCTGCTGGCATTATAATATTTTTGTACTTCTGTTGAAAATGGACATTGTAAGAACTCTTAAAACAGAGTAAAATGCCTAATATGAACTTATTTTTAAATATTTCATTCTTTCTTGGTTTTCATTTTACCTTTTTTGAAGACCAAACATGAAAAGAACTGTATAAAAAGGCACTTGTCTCTACCACTGAAAATTGTCATTTGTGAGCTGCTATCTTGTCAAACCAAAGCAGAAATTCTTGACATCTTTATTACATTACAGCAATTTCTGATACTGACTCTTGGGAAGGATTTAATTTTCTTACCCTTAAACTGAAAGCTGTACTTTTTTATGCAATGATGTGAGCTTATTTTTCTCCTTATCCCTGATGGAAGAGATATATGTATATAAATTTCCTATGTGCTAGAATAATTTAGGTTATATTGATTCAGCTCTGAAAATATATGTGTTAAAATATATATAGAAATGCTCTTAACTTTAGTGAAAATATAAAGTTCAAAACTAACATGGGATCTATAAGGCTGACTTATAATATTTATATTGACACTCAATAGAGCACCAGGTATTTAATTGACTAATAATTGCATGCTCCCTTTTAAATGAATATAATAATGGAATATTCTATAATGATGTCAGCCTAGATTGTTTGATTATTCACATGCAGTTTCACTTTACACAAAGCACTCTACCTCACTTTTTGTAGTTATGGAGGGACATATACTTTAAATTTACAAATTGAAAAACTTTAATGTAAGATTCATAATTAACTATTCACAAAATCAGTCACAGAATCTTGATCTTTAGCTCTTCAAGTCAACTTTAAAATCCTTTTCCACCTATTTATCTTATACTACATATACTAAATATACATATGTATTGTCATTTTGTGTTTGGATATATACAGTGAAACATTTTTAAGTGGAAATATTAAATAATAAAATTAACCAGTTATATATAAGACAATTTGAAGTGATTCTGAACTATAAGTAGTCAACTAACTACTGTGTACATTGTTTTCCTTCTAGAAAAAAGAATCTGAAAGAAAGAAAAAGAACAAAATACCCCAGAATACCTAACAGAACAGTAAGTACTTTGATGGTAAAATAATTATATTAGAGTATCAATAAAATTAGATCTCACAAATTTCTTTTATAAAAATATTCACCTTTCTATTTTCTAAGAAAGAAATTAACATAGTAAGTAAGTGCAGCCTACTAACGTTCAATTTCAACTTAATGGAGTAAAGTGAAAATCGTTTATCCTGTAATCCTCTTAGATAAGAGGCCAAGGTAATCCTTGTGATACATCTGTTTGGCAGAAAATGTTTATGTTTATTTCATCCTGTTTTTTGACTAACACTATATCATTTTAAATTCTAAAGGAAAAGAAATGTTGCAACTAAAATTTAGTCAAGTGCCTCACATTGTTGTGAAAGAATATTTATTCATTTTGCACAAAATTCTAAACAAAATCTATATGATTAGTTTATTTACAGTCATAAATGGAATTATTTGAAAAATGGCAACCATCTGCAGGCTTAAAATCTATAGCTTAATCTCAGTACATTTCTTTCTATCTTCTCACAATTTAACTGTAACATGTATTTCCTTACATAGCTATTATTTGATAGTAATCACCGTTTTCTTAAATATATTTTTATTAAACAAAATTAAATGCATTCTTGATACCATTAGTTATGGTAGAATTGGTAATATTATAAAAATCTCCTAGATGCAAACATTCATAAATTTTCAGTATGAGATTATCAAAATCGTAAATGATGCTGGGGTTCTTGTTTACGGAGTCGAAGAATGAATTTAGCAAATAGTCAAGGTAGGAGAGCCAGGGAGAGGCTTTTATTTAGAGATACAGTGAGAGAATAGAGCTCCTGGCTCATGGCAGAAGGGGACAAGAGAGTCCATGGTGGTGCGTTGTCTAGGGGTTTTATAGGCAGTTGAGTATTTTTAGGAACGTGAAAAAAGGCTTAGGGGTGTGAACTTGTTAAGTGGTCCCTGAATATTTAGAATTAACTTAACATAAGGAATTTCCGGCCTTGATTTCTCCCTGGGATACAGGCATCTTGGTCTGGAAGCATATCAAAAGTCCACCTGCCCAGCCCCCGCACAAGGTGGGCTGAGTTATTGTCTGTTTGTCAGAGTAAGTTAAGAATCTTACTTCTAACTTCCTGGGTGTTAAAATGCAATCTATCTTTAAGGTGGAATGCTTCCTGCCTTTTACTATGTTGTTTACGGCTGGGCCTGCATGCTGTATTAATTACCCAGGTTATATATTCTTTGATTAGAGGCTGGAGGAGGAAAAGCAGCATCTGGACAAAGTTAAAGAAGATAAGTTGGGCCTTTTAGCCCCTAAAGTAAATTTTACAATAGCCTCATTTAATGGGCACAATGGAGACATGGGCTATGCCTGAGGTACTTTCTTATCTGGGGGATGTTCAAACATTCTAGGCCAAGTTACTCCTGGTTTTTTAGTTTTAACTAATCTTCACTGAAGAATGCTTATATTCCTAGTTTGATATTTTACTTTAGAGAATTAATGTGACTCTGTCTTTGCTTCATTGTTTAATATGGAGTTTTGGTAGGGGTCTTTTGTCAGAAGCCCTCACCATACTGTGACTACACCCATGGTACCTGTCTCATAAAGATGGAAAAACAAAGTCCACATTGATGAACCATGTTATATCAATTTGAATACCAAGGCTGTTTTGAAATGAGTTTGCAAATGTAGGTCTAAAATTTAAAACATAAATAGTAAAAGAAAATGGAATGAATTAACAAACTGATAGAACTATACCTGGATATATATTAAAAGAGAACAAAATTCCGTGAAAAGGATGTGTGATATAAAAAAGAAATTCATGAATAATTTTCTAGGATACAAACAAATTACACTTAAACACTAAATTTTTCTAGCCCTCAAAGAACTTTTAATGCATAAATCACATCCTAATTTTGTTATTAAATATAGTTAGTCCTCATTTTGATGATATAAATTACATTTATATAATTTATATAATTATATAAATAGTTATGTAATTCTTATGTAAATAAATTAATATATAAATTAAAGTCTTAAATCTATTTTATTTATTTTTTGAAGTATGTGAAGATCAGAGAAAGATATTTCTTTCACTTACCTGTCTTAATATTAGTCATATGCAACTTCACTTTACACATTCTACCTAACTTTTTGTAGTTATGAAGGGACATAACACTTTAAATTTTAAATCAGAGATTTATAAAATTCAAGTTTCAAAAACTGTTCCTTGATTTGAAAAATAAACTCCAAATATGTGAAATGCTGCTTTGGGATGGACAGCAGGTTATGAACATGTTTACATAAAAAAGGATAATTTAAGAATCAGATTTTTCTATCATAAAAAAATGCAAGTTAAATGATTTGCAAGTTATTAAATAAATGATAAGTTTCTTTTAGACAGGTTTTTTTTCCAACATCTTACTGATCAGCGATAGTAAACTAAGTCATTCAACCAAAACATAAATATTTCCAACATCCAGCAATTGTCCCACAGTAGGTTTTGGCTCTATTAAAGTTTTGTTTTTATGTATGTACTTAAGTTTTTAAACATAATTTCAATTTTGTACATTACGCATTGGAAAAACTTGAAATTTAAACGACAGAAACATAGATATTTGTTTTACCATCTTTATACAAGATCCAGGTTATATCTACCCTGTCCCCTCACAATTTCCCAGTCATTTTATAATTTCATTATGAAAATCCACCAATGGTTGTTTATCTGATCTAATTTATCTATAAGTTATTTGGTCTGTTATTCAGAAATGATATGTAGATTATTTTATTTTAATTGTCTTTATCATAATTGTACTAAGAAGGATTTGCTCTGGCATATTTTGGAGGGAATGTATTCAGTTATAAAATCTGCCAATTTGGAAAAATCCTAGGGAATATAATGTACATGTGTCATTTCCTTGATGCAGTTCTTTTGTTCAGCCTTTAACTGTTTTTTATTTAATACCGACTTGATAAACGCTCATAAATAACTGTAAGGAAAAATGACTCAATTCAAGCCTGAATAAAAAAAGTGTAGTTTATTCCTTAAAATTTTATTAAATATTTGTGAAGAAAAATACTCTCAATTAAAGTGATATTGTCAAAATCGAAGTGTCTTCATGAACTTCCTGAGTTCGTGAGTTAGGGGTGTCAGTATATGGAATAAAGCATCCAATAAATACCGATAGAAGGGAAGACATTAGATCATTCAGTGAGTACTTTTTTGTCTTTACCTATATATAGACTATATGCCTATGTTGTAAGCCCATGAATCATGACTGAGTTTTTACAGTTTGCATTTGAATCAGATCTTGCATTTGATTTTTTAGCCCCGTAACATCTTCTAATTTTTCTTCTAAGTCCATAGCTTAAGAATTATTTGATAATTGGTTAAAACATCGCTAAAGGTATTTAGAGCACATTGCACTTGTATTTCACAGAAAGTTTTTGTGCTTCAGAGGGAAAATAAGGAAAGAGGACCCTTAGAATTTGTATTTTAAAATAACAATTTTTCATCTCAACTGCTAAGCCTTCAGTGGTACTTTTAAGAACTCCGTGGGTCTGTTCTCTGTAGACTCTAAACACACTAGATAATAATAATAACGAGGCGCAGGCACACAAAAGTCATTCAGATGCTCAGACATGCTTCTTGGAAATTATTCACATTATCCTGGATTTGCTAAACCTCTTTAGATACTACTGGGAGTTGATATTCTCACTCAAACCGTGATTAACTATCTTGCTTCCCTGGCACACTGAATAAAGCAAGAAGTTTTCAGCAAGAAAAGTCCTAATGGAAAACAGATTTTAACCATAAGAGTGTTTTTGTGATTCATTAGATAATAATTATCATTTGCAAATGTCCCTCACAAGATTCATTTGGCGAAACTTTTCTCTATTGAAGTAAGAAGTCCCTGTAATCAAAAAGTATAGACATGTGTATGTGTAGTAGTAGCACAGAGCTAGGGAAAAATTTCTCTATCTAGTCTAGTATTCTCATTTTATAGACATTCCTTCTTCTAATAGCCTCGCTTATAGAAGACCAGGTAAGTCATTTATCCAAGCTCCCATACCTGTGGCAAAATCAAGAAAAATTCTGGTTTAATTTTTAACCATCCACGATTTTTTCTATCTGCTCTGTTAACTAGAAATCTTATATAAATAACAAGGATCTCACACTGGTTCAAGAAGCCTCTTTCCAAAACTTAAACTTCCTTCAAACAAACTCTAATGAAATTGTATATAGATAGCCCTGCGCAGTCTCTACCTGGCCAAAATTTGTTTTTGATATAACTCATTAGGTAGATGTTTACAGTGGTAAGAATTATATACACATTACGTAGAGACAGTTGGGCAATCTGTATTGAAGTCTAGGCTTCACACATCTCTCTCACAGTGATGAGTCTCAGAGAAGGGGGAAACTTTCAAGATCACACTGCTGAAAATCTACTGGATAATAATAATTCCTGCATACTATCTGCCATAAACAGCAGTTAAGCTACATACCTCTTTGATTCTGTTTCATGGAAATAATAATAATAAAAAGCTTCCCAGGCTAGTATTCCAAAATTCTTTGAGATCAGATTAGATATACAGGGATCATTGCAGTGATGTTTAATTATTAATTTTGGTGATTACATTGTTATATAAAACCTTACATTCAATTACTGTATAGACAACTTCCTTTGGTGTGAAAATTTGCCTTTACTGTTTTTGGTACCCAATACGTCATTTTATAATAGCTGTTGATTGATGTCTATTTTACACAGTAATAGTCATCCAGAGAAAAATATTCTCTTTTCCCTTTACTTGTGATTTACTCTTAATCTTTTTTTGTTTTGTTTTCATTTTTATGTATGTATATTGCTCATTGAAGTATTGTTGATATACAATCTTATATTGGTTTCAATTGTACAACACAGTGGTTCAAATACCATATTATCTCACTTATTTGTGGAATATAAAAACAAAGCAAAACAGAAGGAACAAAATAGCAGTAGACTTTTCGACAGAGAAGTGACTGGTGGTCA